AGAGAGAGAGAGAGTAGAGAGAGCAAGAGAGAGAGAGAGAGAGAGAGAGAGAAGAGAGAGAGAAGAGAGCGTGAGGCGAGTTAGGAGAATGTGGGAGATAAGGGGGAGAACTAAGATGGGGAGAGCGAGAGAGTGAGAGAGAGAGGATGGAGGAGGGGAGAGCGAGCATACGGAAGAGGCATAACCGTGGTTATTGCTAACATGGTTAATTCCGACCTGCGAAGAAACGCTCTTGTTTGCGAACAGCAGCTGGCGTCGGCGCTGGGCTGCTGAGCTAAACCGGCACAAGTGCCGACAACGGACGACTATAGTTTCGCCGTTATCGCCATCTGCAGCGTGTTCGCGCCGTGGAAGTTTTTTGGATTGCCGCGCTGGGATCGTCACGCGGTACCATGACCAAAACACGTCTGTGCGACACGAAACGGCCCGTGTTAGTATACTCGGGCTTTACAGGTTGAGATCGAGTTTTCACCCAGTTTTACATGAGCTGCGGTAAGGGTAAGAGTTGAGAGAGTATAGAAATAAGGGAAAGCATTGCGGAAATCAATGGTTTGTTCTTCGTACACACCGGACGAACGGGCGGCTGCGCGGCGTGTGTGTAGTGTGGCGTGCGTGCGTGTGTGTGTGTGTGTGTGTGTGTGTGTTGTGTGTGTGGTGGCTGTGCGTGCGTGTGTGTGTGTGTGTGTGTGTGGTGGTGTGTTGTGTGTGCGTTGTGTGTGGGGTGTGTGTGTGTGTGTGTGTGTGTGTGTGTGTGTGTGTGTGTGTGTGTGTGTGTGTGTGTGTGTGTGTGTTTGTTTGTGTGTGGGGGGAGGGGGTATCAGAGTATAGCAGCGTTCAAGCTTTGCTCGCGAGCATCGCAGCGACAACGCGAGTTTCTTTCTCGCATGTCTCTTTCTATTCTTGTATAGTTATTACTAACAAATATATATGTTGCTTCGCGCTTCAGGGCATCTTTATCTCGCACGATCAACGTAGCTGTGGTGGAATTCGCTCATTGTAGACGCCAGTCGGCTTGTCCCGCTTGTCTCTCAATTAGCAAAGAAACAAACACAATAAATAAATCATCGCGGCAAGTGAAACCGCGGTTGAAGGTTTGTCTGAAACTCGACCCCGCGCTTTATGGGTAAGATGAGTCAGGCCGCACTGTCATGAAATCACGTCAGCTGTAAATCACATCGTATCGCTGGAAAACCTGAAAGGCGCAAACCAGAATTTCTGTTCAAGTGCAAACAAATAGCAATAACCCGCACTTCGCTCAGCCGTCGGGCACGTGCGCTATTTGTCTATGCGTCGTACTTCGAGTGCACAATTTTGTAAAGACGAGCTTTAGTCGCATGCGTTTGCGATACGTGTTTCCTGAACTCTGGCTATACGAGAAGCGCATTCTACAATCAACTATTCGACTACAATCAGGTTTCGTGTAGTTGCCGTGGCAGCAATACTATCGACGTTTTTCCACAACCGCTTCAACCGCACGCTAAGCAGACGGTTAAGCAGACGGCTTAGCTGGTGGTTAGGTAACATAAACAGCTTCGTTTTAAGCGCCATGCTTACAAAAACATTTTGATGGAGACTTTCCAGCCACCATACTGGAAATCGATTTTATTTTATACAATCAGCAATGCTAAAAAAATCATCTGATGATAAAATTGAAAAACGTTATAGGGTTTACATAGGATTCGCACACGTTAGAAATACACACAGGGATTGCAGGTTTGATTTATTCTTGAGACTACATGCGGTGTCGCGCACCAAGTTCAATATCGTGAAATCTTGTGCATTTATAATCAGTTAACTAAATGATGTGGTGATAATATCATCTCAACGCGTTGCGTTTAGCTTACTGAACTGGTGTTGATATTGTAAGCGTATCATATAGAATAATCCAATTAGAGTCGACGAAAGAGAAGGAGTGAGAGAGAGAAGAGAATTGACAGATAACGCGCGATATTTATAACAAAAAATAAGAAAAGAAAGAAGGAAAGCGCGCGAGATAGATCGATCGATCGCTAGATAGATGGGTGGATGGATGGATGGATGGATGGATGGATGGTTCGATGGATGGATGGATGGATTGATTGATGGATGGATGGATGGATGGATGGATGGTTCGATGGATGGATGGATGGATTGATTGATGGATGGATGGATGGATGGATAGATCGATGGATGGATGGA